ATAATTTTCGTTTGGTTTTTGCTAATTCCGTAAACTACTGTTTATCTAGAAATGCCCTAATTTCACCATCATATTTGAGAGATAGTTTTGCTGGATATATAATTCTTGGCTGGCAGTTTTTTTCCTTCAAGGCTTTACATATGTCATCCCATTGCCTTCTTGCCTGCATGGTTTCTGCTGAGTAGTCAGAGTTTATTCTTATTGACTCTCCTTTGTAGATGATTTTTCGTTTATCCCTAACTGCTCTTAAAATTCTCTCTTTATCTTTGGTTTTAGCAAGTTTGATTATAATATGTCTTGGTGACTTTCTTTTGGGATCTACTTTATGTGGGGCTTGATGAGCATCTTGGATAGATATCTTGTCATCTTTCACGATATCAGGGAAGTTTTCTGCCAACAAATCTTCCACAATCCTCTCTGTATTTTCTGTTATCCCTCCCCGCCCCCGTTCTGGTACTCCAGTCACTCGTAAATTATTCCTCCTGATAGAGTCTCACATAATTCTTAGAGTTTCTTCATTTTTTTAAATCCTTTTATCTGATTTTTCCTCAGATAAGTTGGTGTCAAGTGCTTTATCTTCAATATCACTAATTCTGACTGCCATGGCCTCAATTCTGCTCCTATGACTTTCTATTGAGTTATCTATTTCTGACATTTTATTGTTGATCTTTTGGATTTCTGATTGCTGTCTCTCTATGGATTCTTGCACGCTGTTAAATTTGTCATTATGCTCTTCTCTAATCTTTTTAATTCCTCTATTCCGTGTTCTGCGTTTTGATTAATTTCCTTCCTAATCTCTTGAAGAGTTCTGTTGTATTCTGCCTCCAGTAATTCCAAGAAATTTTCCTCCTCTGGAAAATTTCTTGATTCTTTATTCTGGGAGCTTGCTGAAGCCATTATGGATTGTCTCTTTATGTGATTTTATATTGACTGTTTTCTCCGAGCCATCAATAAGTTATTATATTTATTTATTTTATGTTTGCTTTCTGTGTCCTAGCTTCTTGTTTTGTTTTGATATACCCTAATTTGTTGCTTGTATGAGCTAGTTTGATTGTAGCTACCTTTGAAGCTCTAATATCCTGTCACCAGGTGGTTAAATCTGTTACTAGATATGTTAGCTCAGGAGTCTGCCCACTCCTCCTGTATGGATTCAGCTCAAGCGCCCAGGTAGATAGCCACTAAGTGTGTGGTGTAGGCTCTCACTTACAGTCCTAGATAGGCACAGGTGATTGGTGTAGGCACAGGCATCTGGCTGCAGCGGGGGGACACACTCTGAGCAAGGCAGGGGGCTGACATCTGCCCCCAAGTGTCCAGGAGGAAAGTGTGTCTCTGTTTCCTAGAGTGCCTAGGTGGATGAGTTTTTCAGCTAGACTGTGAGCACCTAATGCTGTTGGCTGCAAGGTCTGGGGGGCATCTCTTATTCATGGGCCCCTATCACAGGTGGCTAGGTGGTGTGGGTGGAGCCACCAGTCCTCAGGCCCCTGATGTAGGTACGTGAAGACCCTGCTTAATGGCTATAGCACTGTCAAATATCAAGAACCTGCCACTTCAGAGCCGAAACAGTCAAAATTAGGGTTCCGGTATATACCCTGTTGTACTGTGGTAATGAGGCCCTACGCTGTTGAGATGGGCCCAGTCAAGTCTATGCAGGGGGAAAGACACTCAAAGCCCGTGGATCGCTTATGCCTGTGCCTAGGCAAAGGAGCTGTGCCTTCCCTGGTTTTCTGGCTTAGGGGAGCTGGTGGTTTATTTTTTCCCGTTTGTTAATTTGTTTACTCTCCAAGGCAGAGAGGATGGCTCTGGGCGTGTGACGTGGCTGACATGTGGCCCAGGGTACTCAGCAATTTCTGAAGCTGGTCCAGGACCCAGTGCAGAGCAGGGAATGGGGAGGTAAATGGGAGAGAGGTTTTTCCCTAATGTGGGTGTTTTTGATCTGCGCGGTAGGCTGTTCGCAGTTACTTATCTTTCGCCGGATTGAGGGCTGCTCTCACTGGTTCTGGTTTCCCCTGTAAACGCGCCTCCCGAGCACGGCTGCTTGCCTGTCTCACCTCTCACCCCCGAGCTGATCAGGCCTGAAGGGCTCACGCTCTCACTGGGTCAGGTCTGGCAACTCCTTGCTGCTTCTGAACTGTCTCTCCCTCCCCCTGCCACTCAGTCTGGTCCCTCAACTCTGCGTTTGATGTTCAGGGCTCCCAGATTGCCATATATAATCGAATCACTTGTTTTTTCGGGTCTTTGGTGTAAGAGGCTCCACCGGAAGTGTCTGACTACTCTGCCATCTTGGCCTCACCTGCACAACAGAACTTTTTAAGGGAGCAATTATTTCTCAAAATTAAAAGTTCTTGGATTTATCTTTTTTAAAAAAATTTTTTTTGGTTAAAAAACATACACAGCAAAACATACACTCACTCAACAATTTCTACATATACAATTTCAGTGTCAGTGGCTACATTGTGCACATTGTGTCATCCTTCTGTGTCTTCCCAAATTATTTCACCCCAATTAACTTAGATTTCACTGCCCCCTAAACTTCTCACATATGCTTTAGAGTTAGTATTGTAACTCTATGTCATATAGATAATTCTTTAAAAGGGCACAATGCTCTTGGTCTCGGGGAACATCTAGCTCAATTGGCATTACATAGTTTAGAAAGAAAATGTTCTATTTTCTGCTCTAGTGTGAGTAGCATCTGGGGTCTTAAAAGCTTGTGAGTGGCCATCTAAGATATTCCACTGGTCTCACGCCATGTGGAACAAGGGAGAATCAAGAAAACAAAGACACAAGGCAAAGATTAGTCCAAAGGACTGGTGGACCACAACTACCACAGCCTCCACCAGGCTGAGTCCAGAACAAGTAGATTTTGCCCGGCTGCCACCACCGACGGCTCTGACAGGGATCACAACAGAGGGCCCCGACACAGGTAGAGAAAAATGTAGAACAAAATTCTAACTCACACACACTCACAAAAAAGACCAGACTTACTGGCCTGACAGATACTAGAGAGATCCCGAGAGTATGTCCCCTGGGCACCTTTATAGCTTGGTAATGTCACTCCTGAGGTTCACCCTTCAGCCAAAGATTAGACAGTTCCTGTGATGGACTGAATTGTGTCCCCCAAAAATATGTGTCAACTTGGTTAGGCCATGATTCCCAGTATTGTGTCATTGTCCTCCATTTTGTGATTGATGTAATTTTCCTATATATTGTAAATCCTACCTGTACGATGTTAATGAGATGGGATAGGCGGTAGTTATGTTAATGAGGCAGGACTCAATCTAGAAGATTGGATTGTGTGTTGAGCCAGTCTCTTTTAAGATATAAAAGAGAGAAGTGAGCAGAGTGACAGGGGGACCTCATATCACCAAGAAACAAGAGCCAGGAGAATACAGCATCCTTTGGACCCAGGGTCCCTGCGCTGAGGAGCTCTTCCACCAGGGAAGACTGATGACAAGGACCTTCCCTCAGAGCTGACAGAGAGGGAAATTTGAGCTTTTAGCCTCCCAAACTGTGAGAGAATAATTTTCCGTTTGTTAAAGCCACCCACTTGTGGTATTTCTGTTACAGCAGCACTAAATAACTAAAACAGTCTCCTTTTTCTTCTGCTGCTCCAGGCAAATAGAGACCAATTGTTGTAACTTGGATGGCCCCTGGCAAACGTTTAAACCCTGCACACTACTCCCAGAATTAGGAGTTAGAACAGTAACTCTAAAAACTATATTAGGCCAATTTACTGAATTGTCCCATGAATCCATGACCCTATTGGCTTTATCTTTTGATAGAACTTCTGTTTATGACCTGTTAACAAGTTTTAAAGTGCTTCTTTGTGCATACCATGAGCAGACACTGTGATGGATAAAAAAATTTTACACGTTATCCCTGTTGTGGCAAAACATATTTTTTTCTTTATGGAGATGAAAATAACATACATTAAACAATTAAGTCTAACTAATGATTAAGTTCAAGGAGGGTTTAGCGTGGGTTAGAATAGTGAGAGGAGGTCAAACTTTGTAAGATGGTAGAAAATCGAAAATTATTTTATTTTGTCTTCCAGGAATCTGTCTTGAACTATCGTTTAGATCCTCTCGGCACTGTTGATGGTTTTACTGCCGAAGTAGGGGCAAGTGGTATTTTCTGCCCTACACATTTGACTCTTCCAGTTGAAGTGTCATTCTACAGTGTTTCAGATGATAATGCTCCCTCTCCTTATATGGCAAGTATCTTTCAAATTGTCTTTTTCTGCCAGAATCAACTCACTTAATGAAAAATGTCTTTGAGTTTAAAGAGAGTTAGTATGGCTTTGGTGCAATGCTTAAAACTATAATGCATTTCCTATGAGAACATTAAAGGCTGAATAGAGAGTTCATGCATATTCTAGAAGAGTTGCCTTCCCATGTGATCCTTCTCTTAGTATAATTTGGGTGAGGATTTGGTGGCCTAAAGTTTCTGTAAGCCCTTTTCACCCCCCTTTCTCCTGTTTAGTTTGTCTTTGGATCACTTCATTAGAGTCCTAGGGTTCTTTAGAATACTAGATACAGGTAGTCCCTGACTTACAATGGAGTTCAGTTCTGACGACTCCATCATAAGTTGGTTCCGACGTAAGTCGAATACCTCATTTTTTTATTTTTCAGTTTTCATTATTATTGCCTTTTATTGTCAATATCTTTATAAATTGATCTTTATTTGTCTTTAGGGGTTGGCATGAGAATGATAACATCAGCAAATTACATGGTGCAACATTGTATGTATTACATATTACTAATGATAAGATGTATCCCACCCCCCCAAAAAAGTGAATAGTCATAAGTGCAGTTCATCATAACTCGAATACATCGTAAGTTGGGGACTATCTGTATTTCTGACTCCATGCTAATGTCTTAGTGGATAGTAAGACAGCTAAGGGAAATTAGAGCCGAGTCTTGACTCTTAGGGTCGTATGATTTCATCTTTTCCATTGTTTATTCCAATAGATAATGGATAAAATAAGCCTTCTACTGCAAAAATGATACTGAGTCCTCATATATGATTAGTATCATACCTTATCCAAAAAGACAAAAAGGGAAACATGGCTAACAATGAAAGCCTGTAAAAGATTTACAGTTATGGCACCAAATATGGAGTCAGACCTGGGTTTTCATGTTAGGTATTACTTTGTGGGAGCCCTGATGGTGCAGTGGTTAACAGCTCAGCCACTAACCAAAAGGTCAGTAGTTCGAATCCACCAGCCGCACCTTGGAAACCCTATGGGGCAGTTCTTCTCTGTCCGGTAGAGTTGCTATGAGTTGGAATCAACTTGACGGCAGTGGATTTTGGTTACTTAGTGAAATACAAGCTTTATATTTTATAGAAATATAAAGCTCTGGCCTTGCTACTTGAATTACCTAGTTTACCACCCAGACCAACTGTTGCTTCTCCTAACACCCCTCTTCCCCTACCCTCAGGTTGTCAGAGACATTAGTCACAATGTCTTTTGTTGTAAGTTAGAACTGTGAAAAGGGAATTCTGTGTGACTGAGAAACAAAACAGAACAAGAGAAGTTATAGTACACTTTTTTAGGAACATAAATATAGCCTATTTCTTATTGGCCCAATCAGCTCAAAGACGGTTAGTGAGGCTTGCTTTATTCCAGTGGTGCCACTTTTAGTCAAAACCCTAATCATTATTTGATACTAGAATTTAAAAACTTTCTTAAAAACCATAGTACTGTCTACTCATTTATTCAAAGATTTTTTCCCCAATAATTTTTACACCTGTAGGTCATAATCATGAAGCTGTACAACATTTGTTATTATCAAAATTAGAGGCACACCCCTTCATAAACCTGCCCAGTTATCACCATAGAAGGATATACCCATTTTTTTCCCTTGGGAGTATCATTTTGAAAAAAATAACTGCTGGTTTCTGAAAATTAAAAAATTGGGAAGCACTATTGAGACAAACTCAGTACCAGAATAAATTCATGAAATGAATCAACATTCATTTCTTTTAACTAAGAACTAAGTATCACAATGACCACCTGGTCATTCCGCTTATTGAGATGCTTTCACACATTCTGTTTGAATTTCCCTTATTTTAATTTATACTGATTTCCCATTATTTGGGCTTTGGCACTGATTAGAGAATAATTGGTGAGCATCCTTCCCAGAAAAACTACTTCATGTACTAGAGCAGTGCTTCTCAAACTTTAATGTATGTATGATATCCTCTGGAGAATCTTGTTAACATATAGCTTTTGATTTGGTAGGTCTAGAGAGAGGCCAGAAATTCTGCATTTTAACAAGCTCACAATGATGATGCTGGTCTGAGGACCATTCTTTGAGTAGCTGAGTACCAGAGGACTCCTATTACCACCTTTTAGTCTTCTTTAAACAAAACAACCCTAATTTAGTTTTAATTTTGACTCAGATCTTAGCTCTCAGACCTTCAATTTATTGTGTTTTGATCTAGTCAATTTGGATTCTTAGATTCCTTAGCGAGTAAATGACCTCCCTCCCCACTAAAAAAGCAGTACCCTAATTAAAACCCTGTTAAGGCACAACATGGTATAAGGATTATTTCTGAAGAAATGCTAAATTCTAGGAAGCAAGGTTTTATAGCTTTTATACAAACAAGTCAAAATCTTGAATGTTGTTGATTGAACCTTCATTTTCTACTTTTTGCCTTGAATGTCCCTTCTCTTGTAGCTTAAGAGATCAGGCAGGAAACATGGACCCCTATTTTTTTCTTCTCTGGCCAGAAATACAGACATATAACAACTCAACAAAAATGAAGAATTGACTTCTTTTTTTTTCAAGACTTAGACCCTTCCATATGTGTGACTTTTCACATCTTCAAAAACCAATAAATTGTTTTGCTTGTTCATTGTCCCCCTCATGATACTTGAGGATAATTCTATAATCTCCCTTTCTTTCCTTTTTGGTGAAGGAACTTCTTATTTTCGTATCTTCATAATAGAAATTTCAAGCAGTGTGGCCATTGATGTTATATATTATTTACTACAACATTTCTAGAAAGAAGAGTAAATTATTTCCTTGTTATGGATCCCTCACTAACTCATAGAAAGTACCTTTATTAATTCAATTTGAATGTTTTTTTCTGTACAAATAGGATTTTAAATGTTAGTAATTACATGATTTATTATTATTAAAGTCTTTTATATACATATGCATCAGTTTGTACTCAATTTGTCTTCTTTTATTTTAAGGGTGTGATTACTTTAGAGTCCCTTGGTAAAAGGGGTTATCGAGTACCTCCTTCAGGAACAATACAAGTGGTATGTGTTTTATAGCCTACAATTGCAATAATCATTCTCTCACATACATATAGAACTTAGCCCTTTCTCCTGCTCCTGCTGCTGCAACAACTTTGGTAAGTAACAGTGGGGCTGCAGCTTTGTTTGGAGTTTCCCTGCTCTGCCACAGGAATGACCATTTGGGGACCTCCATAAAAGGAAAGCATTAATAAGCTAATCAAGGTGAATGCTTTAGAACAATAGTATATGACAGTTTGCTTAACTTAATAGAGCTGTTTTCAATATAATTAGAACCTAACATTGCCATTGCCTTCTATTTATTATAATAAGCCAGACTGAGATTGACCTGTTTGAAAGGAGACCCCAAATATTAGTATTGCTTTGGCAGGAAAATTTGGGAAACAAAATGATATCCCTGATGTAATAATTTCTAAAATTGATCCTAATGCCTATGATCATATGAAGTATATATATATATAATCTGACAGATACCAGGGTGGAGAAGGCATTATTTTTTTTTTTTATTGTGCTTTAAGTGAAAGTTTACAATTCAAGTTAGTGTCTCATACAAACATTTATACACACATTGTTATGTGATCCTAGTTGCTCTCCCTATAATGTGACAGCACACTCCTCTCCACCCCAGATCTCCTGTGTCCATTCAGCCAGCTCCTGTCCTTTTCTGCCTTCTCATCTTGCCTCTGGACAGGAGCTGCCCATTTAGTCTCATGTATCTACTTGAACTAAGAAACACACTCTTCACAAGTATCTTTTTATGTCTTATATCCAGTCTAATCTTTGTCTGAAGAGTTGACTTTGGGAATGGTTTTAGTTCTGGGTTAACAGTCCAGGGGTCATGTCTTCCGGGGTCCCTCCAGTCTCAGTCAGACTATTAAGTCTGGTCTTTTTAGTAGAATTTGAGTTCTGCACCCCACTTTTCTCCTGCTCCGTAAGGGACTCTCTGTTGTGTTCTCTGTCAGGGCAGTCATTGGTGGTAGCCGGGTCTCAGGCTGATGGAGTCTCTGGTTTATGTGGCCCTTTCTGGCTCTTGGGCTAATATTTTCCTTGTGTCTTTGGTGTTCTTCATTCTCCTTTGCTCCAGGTGGGTTGGAACCAACTGATGCATCTTAGATGGTCACTCACTAGCTTTCAGAATCCCAGACACCACTCACCAAAGTGGGATGCAGAACATTTTCTTAATAAACTTTGTTACCGGGCATCATTGTTTTTGGTCTAAGTGATGATCTAGTTTTCTCCCAGGAGAACCCTTCTAGCCCGGAGCAGTCCTGCATCATCCCTGGTCTAGGGTTCTGAGAAGATTAATTTGATATCCAGGCCAGTTTGAGATTCAGCTCATCTCTAAGTCAGACGCAGAATAATCCTGCAAGCCCTCGAGTCTGTTACTTGAGGCTCCTGCAGACTGAAAAGAGTTTGTCTGAGGCTGGTTCCTCATACTAAGTATCTGGTCTAATCCAGTAAGACTTTCTGTGCACTTTGGCCTCAGTGTGTTCAGTGCTTTCTCATCACCAGTGTTCTAATACTGCAAGGAGTCTGTACATTTATTTCCTGTCACACAGGAATGAAACATAGTACTATGCATTAGATACAAATATAGATATGTGGGTATGTAAATTTTACTGAGGAAGAATCACTGCATATTAAAGTATGATTTTTATGTTAGATGGATTTTTTGAACTATAAAAGTGATAATCTTCTTTCTCTTGCCCCGACTATGTAGCTTATGAGAAAGTGTGGGTCACTGGAAAGCTAGCTGTCAGTTTTCATAATAATGAGGCATAAATGCAGAGGTAGCACATTCACCTCTTGTTTGAGGACTGCCAACTTTAGTACTTAATTTTTAAATCTGAAATTTGGGTATGTCTTTCATTCCTTATATAGTGTAATTATGTATAAATATTGTTTGAACTCCTAGTTTGCTGGTTGTTGTAATTGTTGAATGTATTAGCCTTAATCTTAAGACTCACTAGACTTCAAAAATTGGATCATAATATTGATATATTTCTCATTTTGATTCAGTGAGTGATGTCCAGTGCCACGGATGAGCTTCTGAAAGCATGGGCACCAAGTTACCTATTGATGTGTTGTTGGTAATTTGGTTAAAGTCAGATTAGCAGTTTGGGGTTTTATTTAAAAATTAGTACTTTTAATATTCCTTTGATTATTCATATCCAAGTTCCAATTGAATCCAATTCAGTCATCAGTAAGGATAAATATTTTTGTTCATTATGATATTGATGATAAAAAAAAAAAAAGCCTAGTGTCACTGCAAGTTTTGAAATGAATCCAAATGTGAGAATATGAAGTTTTGTTTAGCCACTTTGGATCTAATGATAATGAACTTCATTTTCTAAATTTGGAAAAATTTTCAAATAGGTGCTCTAAAAAATGACTTTTCCTTTTTTAAATTTTGCAATAAGCATATGTAACTAAAACATCAAAAACTCTAGTTATACTGATCTTTTATTTTTTATTTTAAAAAAGTTCAAGAAGCTAACTCACCATTAAAATATGAGAAAAATTAAAATTATATTTTGAGAACTTTGTAGTTGATACTCTTTAATGAAGCAAATGGTTGCAACATTTGAACTAGAGTATTTTAACTCATTAAGTGTGTGTCTTGCTTAAGTTAGTGGAACTGCTTCTTAAGACTGAAATCTGAACAAGAAGCAAAAGATATTGTCTATTATTAATGTGAAATTTTGTGGCTGAAGATTTTGATTTGTTACAGGATTTCATATTATTGTGAAAGAAATAATTAAATTGATCTTTTTTAAAATTTTTGAATATGTTATGTAAACTTCTGAAATTTTGTTAATTTTAGTCCCTGAAACTGAATATGTCCCTTGGGATAACCTTACTATTTAAAAAGCCTGTTTTATATTGGCACAATCATTTTGAGTCATATCAACAAATCACTATTTTTAAAAAGTAATTTCTATATTGTTTCTTCAGACCTTATTTAATCCTAATAAGACTGTGGTGAAGATGTTTGTTGTGATATATGACTTACGAGATATGCCAGCCAATCATCAGACATTCCTACGACAAAGAACTTTTTCTGTACCTGTTAAACAAGAAATGAAGAGAAGTGTTAATAAAGAGAACATCCAACATGCAGAAGAACGGTTATTACGCTACCTCATACATCTGAGGTAATGTTAAACAAACTAATAAGAAAATATGTTACTTTAGAAGAACAATACTAAAATTTTTTGTTTATTTTTAAAAACTGTACTCTAGCTAGGCCAATACCCATTGGACTTTGCTTAGCTTAGGAGTCCTTGATGACGTGCCGAGATGCAGAAAGCGCATGGCATACCTTCCTGCAGTCATTATGCCTTGAAGATCTGGGAGTTTTCATTTTAGCTGTGCAATGTAAAATATTTTTATATCAAAAGTAATGCTTATGTACAAATGTTGTATCTCGGGCAGTGTATAACATGTTTCCTAAACCAGTACTTCCAATGGAAATGTAATACAAGCCATGTATGTGGTTCTGTATTTTCCAATGTTGTTGTTGTTAGGTACCATCAAGTCAATTTTTGACTCACAGCAACCCAGTGTGACAGAGTAGAACTGCCCTATAGGGTTTTCTACACTCTAATCTTTACAGGAACAGATTGCCAGGTCTTTTCTTCTACGGAGCCACTGGGTGGGTTCAAACCACCAACCTTTTCAGTTAGCAGCTGAGTGCTTAACCATTGCACCACCAGGGCTCCTAGTTACATTTTTTTTAAAAAGGTGATATTAATTTAACTTTTTTTATTTAACTCAGTGTATCCAAGTGTTATTTCAACATATAATTTATATAAAAATTGAAATATTTTGCATTCTCTTTTCGTACTAAAGCCTCAAAATCAAGTGTATATTTTATAATTACAGCACATCTCACTTTGAACTAGCTACTTTTCAAGTGTTCAGTAGTCACGTGGCTAGTGGCTTCTGTACTGTAACAGGAAAGTTCTTAAACTCTATTCATTTTATTCATTCATTCATTGACTTACTCAGCAAATATTTATGTGCCAGGCATATTTTTCGGACTAGGGAAACAGCAGTGACAAAATTTCTGTTCTCATAGAGTTTATATTCTTTTTTTTTTTTCTTTTTTATTGTACTTTAGGTTAAGGTTTACAGAACAAATAGTTTCTCATTAAACAGTTAGTGTACATATTGTTTTATGAAGTTGGTTAACAACCCCACGACATGTCAACACTCTCCCTTCTCGAACTTTTTTTTTTTTTTGGTGAAAATATACATAGCCAAAGATACACCATTTCAAAAATTTCTACCTGCACAGTTCAGTGACATCGATTACGTTCTTCCAGTTGTGCTGCTATTCTCACTTTAGATGAACGTTTACAGAACAAAATAGTTTCTCATTAAACAGTTAGTACCAATATTGCCCTATGACAGTGGTTAACAACCCCACTACATGTCAACACTGTCCTTACTCAACCTTGGGTTCCCTGTCACCAGCTTTCCTGTCCCCTTCTGCCTTCTAGCCCTTGTCCCTGGACTGCTGTGCCTCATTAGTCCCATTTTGTTTTATGGGGCTGTCCAATCCCCGGCTGAACGGTGAACCTCGGAAGTGACTTCACCACTGAGCTAAAAGGGTGTCCGGGGGCCATACTCTCAGGGTTTCTCCAGTCTGTCAGGCCAGTAAATCTGGTCTTTTTTTTGTGTGTTAAAATTTTGTTCTACATCCTTCTCCAGCTCTGTCCAGAACCCTCTGTTGTGATCTCGGTCGGAGCAGTCGGTGGTGATAGCCAGGCACCATCTAGCTGTACTGGACTCAGTCTGGCGGAGGCCTTGGTAGATGTGGTCCATTAGTCCTTTGGACTAATCTTTTCCTTGTATCCTGTTCTCTTCATTCTTCCTTGCTCATAGAGCTTATATTCTAATGGTTCTATCAGAAATATCTTTTCTTCTAAATTTTACTAGCCAGCTTACAGCTCTAAGTTTTGAGAAGCCATTGGTTTGCCCTTGAGACACTCTAGTATAGCTCCTAGGATTGATGAGTAAGTCAGTTGGTTTAGAGTTTCTGGTCCCCATTGTAAGTCCTCAGTCATCTCAACAATAGTAATTCATCTTTGTGTAACTTCTTACTGTAAGGAGCCCTACTCATCAGGAGGATACACCTTTCATCCAGGGCCCAGACAAAGAAACTCTTGAGTCGTTACTGATCGTGACAACCAGCGTCTTTTTTATTAGATTTGCCTTGCAGTGGTGATCTGGAGTGATGTACAAATGGTGTGTGGGGTGCCATCTGACCTCCTCTGACTTCATGAGAGGGGGAGAGAATCAGCATCAGCCCGAGGCTGATTCCCATGAAGCAGAGGTCAGACGTGCCTCCTCTCTCCACCATCTTTACCAATTTTGACACTTAATGTGCCTCCCACGGCACTACTTCTCTGCTGGGTTTGATAATCCATTGCAGTGGCCACACAGAACTCACAGAGCATACTCAAGATTATGAGGTTTATAAGGGAAATAACAGGTTACAATTCAGGTTCAGGAACACTCAGGATACAGTTCTTCATCAGGACAGCCTCTTCTCAGCCGTGCCTACAGGCATGCCTTTTTCTGGCCCATCAGCCTCTGCCCTGCTCAGGCAGGTGTTACAAAGCTCTTCTAGCTCTGCCAGTAAGTGCCTCGAGGCACCCTACTCCACCATTAAGCCTCGGCCTGAAGGTGCTCAGCTCTAGCTCCGTGAGTTGGCAAACCTAGCTCCACCAAGCACCTGGAGGCACCATACTCTGCCAGGAAGCCTCCTGCCCGAAGGGACTCTTGCTCCACAGGCAGCCCACAGTGCTGTCTCCTCCTGATCTCTTAACTCTGCTGCCACTGTTTCTCTGCCACTGCTCGCCATCTTCAGTGTTACAGCTCTCTCTCTCTTGGTCTCCTGGTTCCAGGAACTTCTCAGGGTAGGGATCCTGGGTCGAAAGGATGTACTCCACTCCTGGCTCTTCTTCCTTGGTGGTGGTGAGATTCCTCTCCCCCTGCCTATGGGATGGCTCATTTTAAGCCTAGCAGGATAGCAAAACTGACCACTCCCTTTGTTAGGGTTCCATAGACCGTATTTGCATAGTCCCACTCAATCACTGTGTCTGAGTTACAAAGACTATGCCTGGAGGGGCCATATTAAGTAATTCATTGTACTGCAGGTGAATAAGGAGCTGGACACTTAAGTTCCATGCTTTAAAAAGTCTATTAAGTTAATTGGTTTCTCCCAAAGTGCTGCTTAATTGGTACTCTCATCTTGGAGACTTCTGCCTGGTGTTCTTCATCTGAAGGATACATTGAACTGGCATAACATATTTAATCCCACTTTGACACTGCCTGACATGGGCTTCACAGGAAATGTTACATAGATTATGGGAATGAGAAATCTACCAAAACAGGCCTGGAGGACTTTTTTTTAAACTTCTGTTGTTGTTGAGAATATACACAGCAGAACATGCACCAATTCAACAGTTTCTACATGTACAGTTCAGTGACATTGATTACATTCTTTGAGTTGTGTAACCATTCTCACACTCCTTTTCCAGGTTGTTCCTCCCCCTCCCCTATTAACATAAGCTCACTGCTCCCTAAATTTCCTATTTAAACTTTCCAGTTGCTCTTGTCAATGTGATCCCGTATAGAAAGATCTTAATAAGAGCACAGTGCTCATGGCAGACATTCTTTGCTAGTTAAGCGAAATTATTGTTTGGTTTCTAAAGAAAACTTCAGAGGATATATTTGGTTTAAAATTTAAAGATTAACTCAGGGCATTAGTTTCAGGGGTTCATCCAGCCTCCATGGCTCTAGAAAGTCTGGCCTCCATGAGAATTTAAAATTCTGTTCTGAATTTCCCCCCTTTTGATTAGGATTCTTCTATAGAATCTTTGCTCAAAATGTTCAGTAATGATAGCCAGGCCTGGAAGACTTTTGAAAAGACTGTTGTTGTTGTTTGTGTGCTATCAAGTCGATTCTGACTCATAGCAAACCTATGGGAGGGAGCATTGGCGGTGCAGTGGTTAAGCACTCGACTGCTAACCAAAAGGTTGGCAGTTCGAACCCACTAGCCGCTCTGCTGGAGAAAGATGTGGCAGTATGCTTCCATAAAGATCACAGCCTTGGAAACACTATGGGGCAGTTCTACTCTGTCCTGTAGGGTTGCTGTGAGTTGGAATCAACTTGATGGCAATGTTTTTTTTTTTGTTTTATCTTTATGCGAGCCGATTGCCAAGTCTTTTCTCCTCCAGAGCCACTGGTGGGTTCAAACTATCACCTTTCAGTTAGCAGCCAAGTGCTTTTAACCATTATGCCACCAGGGTGCCTTTTAAAAAGAATAGTAGTGTGAAATAGTAGACTGTAAGAATACCTCCCAGCTCAACCTAGGAAAAGATTTAACTTTCTCTGATTAAACTTCCATTTGACACCATTCTTGAAGTTTAACAACCTTAGCCAGAACACAACATTTACCAAAGTAAAAACTGACTACTCTAGCTTTTATCCTCCCCACATAATGACTATAATGACTAGATACTTTAAATGCTGTAAAGAAACCTCCTTGGGAAAAATGGTATAATTGCCCAAACTTACTATGTTCTTCAGATGGGGAAGGTGAAAAACTTTAGAGAGAAGAAGAGTCCTTTTACATATACAACTGACTACCATATTTTTAAGCTAGTTTAGGAATAAAATCCATAAAAAGCGTGAAAATGGTTGAGAAGTAGCAGTGTCAGAACGTGTCTAACTTCAGGGGGGATAGTAATCAGGATCAGCCCAAAGCTAATTCCCACGAGGTGAAAGTCAGACATACCCTCACCCTCCATCCTTTTTACCAATTCTGACACCAGCTGTCCCTCCTACAGCACTCTCTACTTGTCTTCTTGGTTTGATAATCCACTGGAATGGCCACAGACAATACTTACAGTTAAGTGGTTTATTAAGGAAGTAACAGTATACAACCCAGGATCAGGAAGCATGTAGGCAAAGTTTCCCATCATCAGTGCAGGATCGGTCTCTCAGCTCCTCTTGGCCCGGCTGTCTGTCACCACCAGCTCTGCCTCTGGGCCCCTTCTGGGCCTGTCACTGTCTTCAGTGTTACAGTCCTTGACCCATGTTATAGCTATTTTAGGAGGTTCCTTGCCTCCTTTCTCTCTGCTTCTCTCTTCTTTCTTCTGCTTCTGTCTGCTTCCCGTCTTTCTGTTTCTGCTGCTTCTTACTGCTTCTCTTCCTGCTTCTTTCTGTCTGAAAAACCTCTGTGAGGTTGGCTGCATATATACACACCAAAACCATTGCCATCAAGTCAATTCTAACTCATAGCAACCCTATAGGACAGTAGAACTGCCCCATAGGGTTTCCAGGGAGCGGCTGGTGGATTCAAACTGACAACCTTTTGATTAGCAGTCATAGCTCTTAACCACTGCACCACCAGTGCTCTTTGTCAGTTTCAAGGCATGGCCCTTCCCAGCGGGGTCACAAACTGACCAATCCTCTCTCTGTAGGCCACAGATATTTCATTTGCATAGTAGGCTATAGTCACCTCATTCGCATAGTCTGTTGTCCAATCCCTGCAAGGTGCATACCAGTGACAGGGCAGGCTGCAGCCCAGGGCCAGACAAAAACTATCAAACCACAAGTTGTTTACAGTTTACCCAGGAAATGTTGATCAACCTAGACAAAAGTAACAAACCCTCTGTGGTAGAAAACTATGGCAAAGGTAACTCCTCACAGCTTAGGAGAAAATCTCTCAAGCTGTTTTTCCAAAGAACCAAGGCAAAAGGCCACATGAAGGAACTCATTTCACACACAGTATTTCTGCTATGCCAAGGGAAAGACAAAGAGAAATTAGCGCTACAGGTTTTGTTTGACTAAATGCCAGGTAAATTTATGGGATTAAAGACTCCAGCTCCCTGTCTTGTGCTACAGATATTAGCAGGGGCTAGAAATGGTTTCATATACTGTTTTGATAGCCATTTTGATTTTACTACTAACTTTTCTCTTGATTTTAGGTAATGGCTAGGTTTTATTTAGCTAGCCTGTATTGATGATAGCAGTCTTTTCTCTTCTTGTGATTGCCCTCAAAACTTGACCATTTTCTGAGGTGATTTTCCAAGTATGAAATGTATTTTAATTGACCTAAATCATGGGAGCCAGAATTATGTGAAATGGGTCATTCTGTGTGACTGGAAGATGCTCGGGCTGCAAAGACCTACAAAGTATAGTTGGCTGATGTAACTGAAATTGGACACTGTAGAAGAGGAAATGTGCATATGCTTCTTAGGGATGAAAAGTAAGATCGTGTTTGAGACCCAGACTTACAGGAAGAAGCATCTCAGGCATTGGAACAAAAGAGGGAAAGAGAGTATGGAGTGCTTGGAGAATAGTAAGGGAGAGACACTTAAATAGTAGCATGTGATTTAGCGATATAAGACATTAAATATAATAGTGAGGAGTTAGTGTTAGTACTGTAGCAAGACTGATTCTTCTTGCTTTCAAAATTTTAATTACTCAGGGTTTTTTATTCTTTGTTTTTGCTTTGTTTTATTTTAAAGGCTCATTCCCCAAAGATGATGCATCTTTTTCTGTTTGTTTGTTTAGGTTCCAGAGTTCTAAATCTGGAAAGATCTACCTCCATAGAGATGTACGGCTCCTGTTCTCTAGAAAGTCAATGGAAGTTGATAGCGGTGCTGCATATGAACTCAAATCTTACACTGAATCTCCAACAAACCCTCAGTTTTCACCACGATGTTAATAAGGAGTAACAATTTAAAGTGTTTGCTCAGTACCCACGTTTGAAAGTAAAAATTAGCATAGAACAGAGTGTACCAAATTAACATCTAGGAGAGTGGATCCTCTCCTGTTGTCCTGGACCAGTTTTTATTAAAGGATTTCTGGAGTGAGATCCACATATTCCAAGTAAACTGGAAAAACTCATGTCCTAATCCTTTTTGTACTGTTGAAGCCACTTCATTGGACATGTTGCAATAGCAAAACCCCAAGTTAGGTTAGTGTTTACACATTTCTCAGTTATTTAATATTTAATGTTTCCCTTAATACTCAAGTGATGTTTGTCTCTAGTGTTCTAATGTAGCACAAATCCTATGTAAAATCATACTATGTATTTTTGACATTAACATTGAAATCTGAAATATATGCACAAGTCTTTAACTTTGTGTGATGCGTTTTAAGTGCTGTTCATTTAAGTTATTGAAAATGAGAATGAAATTGCTGAGCTTCTTTAAGATTAACGCACTATGCAAGCATGTGTACCTTCATTTTTGTTTTTACCAGACCCCATCCAGGTTACTGTCTCACCTAGTAGTCCTTTAACATGCTGCATTAGCAGTGCAATGTGGACTAAGCTGCTTCACATTCTCCTTGAAAGTTCAAATCATCATGCCCATTCATATTCCTTCTAGAATCCCTTTTCCCAAAAGCAGTTCTGTTTTTCCTTTGTGACTTTACATTATACTATAGTGTATACTATAGTGACTTTACATTAAATTGCTGTCCCATGCTAGATAACTTTCTCAAATTGTTAAACAAATATGTACTTTGAAAACAAATTAGTATTTATATTGTAAATATATACAAAAACTAAGAAATGTGTATTTGGCTTTCATTTTTAGATGAGACATTTAAGTGCCTGGGTAAATCTCTGGTAGGCATCAGGCAGTTTCCATTCTAGCTCTACGGCTACCGAGGAGGGGGAAGAAGTCTTGAGCCTTGTCCCAATTATCACTTCCTTGTTAAAGTTACAATGGAAAGCATCAGGCAACTGGGAAGAACACCAATCAAGAGGACTTGACTAAGTACATCAAAAGTCTTCCCTCAACCGCCATGGAAAGAACAGAGTGGTTTTTGATGTTTGTGTTGGGACAGTGAGCAGTAGCAAATCAGATGACAGTGCAAAGAAAATATACTGGGAACGTTGGCACAAAGCTGAAAGTGCAGGTTAGAAAATCCATACCACTCAGGTAGGCCAGACCTGGGAGACTTGGCAGTCTAGAATCAGGTAAGCAGTCTGGAATTGGCAAGTGGGAAGTTCTCTACTTTGAGACCCAGCTAATGGACAGACCACTTAAGAGGACCTGGCTGGGTGATTATTAAGTGTGGGGTTGCAGGTTGTGGGTTGGTAAGCAGAAGCCTCTTATAAATTTATTTTAAAATAACCAGGTAAAAGAGAAAAGGTATTTATATTCCATAAAACTAAAAATAAAAAAGTTTTCAGTGGCACATATAAAGATTTATTCTTAGGCTTCAGGCTGTAGTGGAGAGAACATGGGACTGGGACCCAGAAGGCTTGGATTATAGTCTTAGCTCTAATGGTGTCTGATGGGACCAACTCCAGGAATCCCCTAACCTTTCTGAGTCTGTGAGAAAATGGGGCGAGAGTATCATTAATGTGCCTTCTATTAAATTCTGTCATCTAATAATTGAAATAAGTATTTCAATGCATATATCTAAACTTCTTATACATTTTGGCAAAAGTCAGTATTGGTAATTTTATATAAAATTTGGAAAACATCAAACTGATTTTATTAAATTTTTCATTGCTTCTTTGACCTCTCCAGTAAAGTGTACTCAAAAATTAGTGTGACATATGTTGTCTGCAGGTTTCTTTTTACATGGATACCACACTGGAATTTTCCAGAATTCTTTCTAGTTCATGGTCTTCTACTTTTCTGAGCACTTTTTAGAAAATACAGAGTTTACTGAAGCATCTGGGGGCATCTTCTTGTGCTCTTCCTGGCAAGTTTGCACAAAGGAAGCATGTGCTGACATTCTGTCTTTCTACTTCTTGGGCCTCTTTTTCCCAGGTTGTCTTTCCTCAGTGAGGCACAGAATCCAGCATCTGTCTGCTCTCACTTGCCCTGGCACCATCTGTCGCACTGGTTCCTCTTCTACCCTTCTGTAGTCCGAGGCGGAGACTTTAGCACGCTTCCTATATTGTTTCTCTTTGTACTCAAAAACTACATCACTAGCTTATATCACAGTTGAGTGTTGGCATGCAGGTAAAGATACCAGTAGACAACCAACAGTGCTACCTACGGTAATATCTCCTTCCTTACCGCAGGCTCACTAGGTGGTTTTGTAGATTAATGAAATGAGTCATAACTAATAACTGCCTTTTAAAAAGGAAGTTCAGGTCACAAATAACCTGCAGAAAGTCTCTGGAAAATTTATTATCAGATTAGAATGCTAAAATCTATTATGAGAATGAAAAAAAATATTAGCAATGAAATGATGAAAGAAGGGGGCTTGCTGGAAGGTACTAAACGGAAGCTTCCCCCTCCTGCCCTTTCCCTGACCAGATCTCTTTCATTCCCAGAGGATTAAAGAAGGGGAACATTTCTCTTTCAAAGAGCTCGTCTTTGGGATCTCCAGTCTTCCCTAATCAGTTTTGTGAATGAAGTGGTGATGGTCTACTGGACCTAAACCAAAAAAAAACAAACAAACTCATTGCCGTCAAGTCGATTCCAACTCGTAGTCATAGCGATCTTATGGGACAGAGTAGAACTGCCCTGTAGGGTGTCCAAGGAGTGGCTGGTGAATTCGAACTGCCAGGCTTTATGGTTAGCAACCATAGCTCTTAACCACTGCGCCACCAGGGCTCCACTGGACCTGGGAACACAATTACTCTAGACAAAAGTATATGCTTTTCAAAATGGTAGGAATTCACTCTCAATCCCTATAACTATATAGGACATTGGAATCAGCCAGTTCAACTCCATCATACCATGGATGATCTGTGAGAGATTGTCTTAAACTTGGACACTGGGGGAAAAGGGAGAGAGCATAGGACTGTGTACTATGTGCCAGGCACTACAGTCAGTTGATGTGTTATTTAACCCTTAAAATAATACTTCAGGGAGAGTATGGGTACAGTCCACAGTTAAAAATGAAAAGAGGCTTGAACAACTTGCCCAAGTATGCTGCCAGTAAGGGGAAGAGCCAGGATTAAAATCTAGGTCAAAGTTTATGTCTTTTTCATTCTACTACACTGACATTTTGCCTCTCTTATCATTCTTTTTTTCTCCTACTAGAAATTGTGGCCTGGCATTAAAATATACTCTTCATCAATATTCTTGGAAATAATGATTATAATTTGCTGTGTGATAAGTGAGAAATACAATAAGACAAAGCTTAGTTAATCTTAGGGAAAAAAAAGACTTTGACAGGTATGGTTGGGAATGAAGCCCTAAAGTGCCTCAGAGGCCATTCATTTTAGTATGCTGTTGGAAGCCGTAGAAATACAGTTGAGGGAAGTTTTAGAAACTCAATGTCTCACATATTTTATTAGATTTTAAAGGTTTAAAGCTTATAAAGTCTCTTTCAGGCCTCCCACTCCCACCTCGTTGTCACTTTTTTTCAGTTCATTTAAATTTTTTCTGTTCCAACATTTCCAATGTAAAGCTCTCTCATCTCACTAAGTCCCCAGAGAAGTGGCATCCTCCATTTTCTGGGTTCCACTTAACATTCAAGTTGTTGAAATTGCTCTTTTTGCAGTCATTACTCAGGTAAGCCTCCTTGGGCTTTGCTCATAGAAACCACCATTTATCCCCAAGGGTTTTGGCGCTCCATATCTTACTTGGTGGCCCTGAGTTGATCTTCCAGTTTCTTTCTATCATTAAAAATGTACTCTGTTCTTGGTGTTCGCCACACACTTTAATACGAACAGACTTACTCTCTCAGGCTGTCTGAGGAATGGATGGGGTGGGACACTGAGCTCCTTTATTCATTCCTATAAACTCTTGAGCTAGGGTGCCAAAACCTTAAAAAGCCTCCTGATCTCTTTAAAGCATCTATCCCAGTTGCCATCAAGTCTATTCTGATTCTTGGCAACCCCATATGTGGCAGAGTAGAAGTGTGCTCTATAGGGTTTTCAATGGCTGATTTTTCGGAAGTACATTGCCGGGCCTTTCTACCAACGTGCCTTTGGGTGGACTCCAACTTCTAAGCTTTTGGAGAATAGCCAAGTGTGTTAACTATTTGTACCACCCAGGGACCCCAAAGCATCTATATTGTTGTTGTTCGGTGCCTTCAGTCTGTTCTGACTCATAGCAACCCTATGTACAACAGAATGAAACACTGCCTGGTCCTGTGCCATCCTCACAATTGTTGCTATGTTTGAGCCCATTTTTGCAACCACTGTGTCAGTACATCTTCTTGAGGATCTTCCTCTTTTTCACTGACCCTCTACTTTACCAAGCATGATGTTCTTCTCCAGAGACTGGTCCCTCCTGATAACATGTCCAAGGTACGTGAGACAGAGCCTCACCATCCTTACTTTCAAGGAGCATTCTGGCTATACTTCTTCCAAGACAGATTTGTTTGTTCTTCTGGCAGTTTGTGGTATATTCAATATTCTTCACTGACACCATAATTCAAAGGCATCAATTCTTTGATCTTCTTTATTCATTGTCCAGCTTTCGCATGCATATGAGGCAATTGAACATACTATGGCTTGGGTCAGGTGCACCTTATCCTCAAAGTGACATCTTTGCTTTTAAGACTTTAAAGAGGTCTTTTGTAGCATATTTGCCCAATGCAATACGTCGTTTGATTTCTTGACTGCTGCTTCCGTGGGTGTTGATTGTGGATCCCAGATGAAATCCTTGACAACTTCAGTCTTTTCTCTGTTTATTATGATGTTGCTTATTTGTCCAGTTGTGAGGATTTTTGTTGTCTTTATGTTAAGGTGTAATCCATACGGATGAAGATCTTTGATCTTCATCAGTAACTGCTCTAAGTCCTCTTTGCTTTCAGCAAGTAAGGTTGTGTCATTTGCATATTGCAAGTTGTTAATGAGTCTTCCTCCAATCCTGATGCTGCATTCTTCATGTAGTCTGGTTTGTCAGATTGGGTAAGTATGGTGAAAGGATACAACCCTGATGCACACCCTTTCCTATATTAAACCACACAGTATCCCCTTGTTCTGTTCAAACAACTGCCTCTTGGTCTATGTACAAGTTCCACATGAGCACAATTAAGTGTTCTGGAATTCCCATTCTTCTCAATGTTATCCATAATTTGTTTTGATCCACACACTCAAATGTCTGCTTAGTCAATAAAACATAGGTACACCTCTTTCTGGTATTCTCCACTTTCAGCCAAGATCCATTTGACAAGAGCAATGATATGCCTAGTTCCATGTCCTCTTCTGACTCTGGTTTGAACTTCTGACAGCTCCCTATCAGTGTATTGCTGCAACCGTTTTGAATGATCTTCAGCAACATTTTACTTGAATGTGATATTAATGATATTGTCTTGATAATTTCCGCATTCTGATGGATCACCTTTCTTTGGAATGGCCACAAATGTGAATCTCTTCCAGTCAGTTGGCCAGGTAGCTATCTTCCATATCTCTTGGTGTAGATGATTGAGTGCTTCCAGCATTGCATCTGTTTGTTGAAACATCTCAGCTGGTATTCCGTTAATTCCTGGAGCCTTGTTTTTCACCAATACCTTCATTGCAGCTTGGATTTCTTCCTTCAGTACCATCGGTTCTTGATCATGTGCTACCTCCTGAAATGACTGAATGTTGACCAATTCTTTTTGGTACAATGACTCTGTGTATTCTTCCATCTTCTTTT